CAAAAATGTATTCAATTTTTTAGATTTTTCAGTTGTAGTTCTACTTTCATAATGTTTCATTTTGTTGAAAAAATATGTTAATTTTGCTTTTCAGCTACTTATTTTTATAAATGAACTTTATCATAAGGATCAACTAGTGTACAATGTCCATTCATTAGCACATATAGGAAATAATACAGTTAAATTTTAGGTACTTGATAGATGTCCCTCTTTCAAATACAAAACTTTTTCAGGTCAATTAAAAAATGTTTGTCTAGGGGGCTCATTTACAAACTTAGGGGCCCTTCTACAAATGTAAGGATTTTTTTTTTTTAGTTTTTTTTATTTAGATTTTGTTTATCTATTTGAAAAGTTTCTAGAAATTTTGGGGCCCTTATGACAGGTTTTTTTTTGGAATGGGGGACTTGTATCTAGTAGCCACGGCACTGTATATAAGGTAACTGTATACAATATATATCAAATTATATACAATATAAATAAAAATATATATATTTTTTTAATAATTTTATATAATTTATTTATCAGTAACTAAAGGAATGTTATCAATTTATTATATGAATCATAAGCATGTGCTTATCTATTACAAGTACCTTTGATGGTGAAAATTACATTTTTTATCTGAAGAAAGTTGGGAGAAATGGTAAGAGTTTTATAACATATTAAAATTAATGTATGTGTTACCAATAAAATTTAAAACTAACAGTTAAACTTAATTTTTTACAGTTCATATTGAAACGAGATATTGTGTAAAGAGGTTTTCAAAGAAGTCGTTTTAACAACAATGGAAAAGCTTCCGATTTCCGAGATAAACGTGAAAGCATTTGATACATGATTAAAAAATCGTTTAAAAGTTTGCTTAATTTTGACACTGTAATTTTAATTACTATTTTTTTGAAATAAACCAATCAATTTATATATAAATTTGCTTTTTCTGTAAATTTTAAACATTTAAACGTAGTTTTGCAAGATTTGCAATGGGTAAATCTCGTGGGACCCTCACGGGATACCCGGCGGGCATACCCATATGGGCCCCAGAAGAAAACCGCGGCCATGATCCAGCGGGTTCACGATGGGTTTCCCATATGGGTCCCATTTGCAAACCCAAATGGGTCCCTTACGGTATTAAAGTACGGGATTTGACTGGGACCCATACGGGATACCCGGCGGGCTAACCCATATGGGACCCATATGGAAACCGCGGTCATGATCCGGCGGGATACCGTTGGTCTTCCCATACGGGACCCAGTTGACGACCCGTGTGGGCTCCGTACGGTACCCGTATGTCAATGTTGGCTGGGATGGAACCTGATTATATGAAACTTTCATCAAAGTGAAATCTTCATTGCGAATACATCATAGACATCATAGACATCATGGACTCCGCAAACTTGTCTATTTTTTCTTTGTAGGATAAACCGAGTTTCGTTCTAAAACAATATTTAGCTACTAAATCAAACAAAAGTTAACCAAATATTAACTTGCTGAAAATAATAGCATTAATATACCGTGTCTACTATTTTTATGTACACTGGTCCCCTACCTGTATTAATTAAATTAAAAACATTCTAAGAAGTGTTAAAACAAAATTAAAAGCCAATGAAGTTCCTCAGGGTTTCAATACATTCCAGATAATCGATTGGAGAATGAAGTATCATTTTGTTCTATTATTTTAAAACTTTAGCACAGTTAGGTCCATCAAAACCACCACCATTATAGCCATGCCAGATAACCGTTTTTTTTTTTTGTTCAAGAAATTCCTTCAGATTTTCATCAGTAAAGAGGAGATCAATAATTTTACTAACATTGTGTTCATAAATATGATATTCAGGTGGTGGAATTATGTTAATAATTTTCTCAGTCAATTTCTCATCCTACAGACAAGAATTTGTAACATTTTTATAATATTGCATCTGTATTCGAGGTTTGCTATCAAATTGGTATATTTTTCGAATTCATCTGTTTGTGATCCCAAAGACCTTTGAATTCCTTTTTCATCTATCGGCCCATCACAATAGCAACACGAGTATTTCCCACCAAGACTCTTTATTATAGAAAATAACTTAAAGGTATTGCTTATCTAAAATATAAAATATAAATAAAATAAGGTACTTACTAATAATCCAATGATGATGTTGATCAATTTGAAGTCAGAAGATAAGTTAAATTTCAATTGGCGAGTTGAAAGAGTTGGAAAAGTGTTTTCAGATTGTGATGATTCTCTTCAACGTTTCGAACTATACCTAAGTTAATCACTTTATTGATTCCAATGTACCTCCTGTTTTTTGGTTGAAAATCTAATACTGATGGGTCAAACACGTTCATAACAATCTTTAGAGATCTTTGCCCTCCATCAATACTAACACGTACAACAAAATTAAAAATATCTAATTTTCTGAAGGAAAAAACTTCAGTTACGAGCATAGATAGATTAATACAATAAACAATACCTATTTCAAAAAAGTTTTTACCGATCTTGAGCTGACATTTTGTCACGTCATAAAACCTATTCAAGTAGCGTGACCTGTTCGTAATTTCAGCTTAGATGTTCTCTTGTCTTGCAGATCGTTCAACATCTTTTCTTATCTCCTTCATTATTCCTAACACTGCACAATTTGGAAGATCTTGGTTTATCTTCAATTTCAGGATTGTTTCACTTTTTATATGCTTTATAGGTGATTGGTCTCTGTATACTTTAAAAGGAAGAGCTTCTCCTCCTGTTGCAATTTTTATTTTTTTACTATCACCAAAAACATACTTTTTTTAGCGTGCAAGAAACAACTCTGTCAGCGATATTTTGATTCTTTGAAGTAATTAAGGCGTCAAGATTTTGAACAGTTTTTTTTTAGTTGCAAGGATGACAATTACCAGGACCAACAATTTGACAGCATTCTGAGCAAAATGAATTTTTTTTTCGAATGTAATCTTTTGAATTTCTACGTAGGTGAATTAAGAAAGATTAAGTGTCTACTTTTCGTACACTTGGTATTAAATATCACAATTGCAGTTGCCATCTTTTTGTTTAATTCTTCCCAACTTTTTAACTTGATCACGATCCTTTATCCAGGTAGTCTCCACAGCTTTACTGATTGCTTTACCTTTCTGTTTTAAATATAAGTTTGTCTTGCAGCTTCTGCATATTCTAGACGGATGAGAACTTAGTTCAGACTGAATCACACAAAGTCTCAGATCAGATGAATCGAATGAAGGGTCCACAAAGTCATTGATCAGATGAATAAGTTATTCTTCTCTAATGATAGATATTTTTTGTCTTTATTGACACAACAGAAACATATCTATCTCCTATTTTCTCAATGAGATCTTGCTTTTTACAGACTTATTTAGTACAAAAACTTAAAACCTCTAAAAATGAGCAGTGAAGAAAAACAACGATGTAAAAAAAAAATATCGTGTTTTACTGGACAAAAAACAACAAAAATTTAACTTTACTCATTTAATTTTAATTTAATTTAATTTAATTTAATTTAATAATAAAATTTAATTTTACTCATTTTTATTAAAACATTATTACAGCATACAAATCATAGTTTTAACCATTATTGGTTAAAACTATGAAGCGTGTCCTTTAATAATCCTTTTTTTAAATGTTTTTATGAAACTCGTTTCAGTAAAAAGTTATGTTTTTACCGTAAAATTTTACCGTTAAACTATATGGTAAAAAAAACAAATGCAAGAAAAACATCGATTTTTTTTTCCTTTTTTTTTCCTTTGTCGTTTGATAAAATTTACAATAAGAAAGATCGTACATATATAATATATGGCCGGAGCAAGAAGAAGACGTATATTGTCTTATCGCCAAGCCCCGTTTACATTTTTGCCTTCAGTTTATGTAACAAGTTAAAAATTACAAAATACAACACAATATATTACAAGTAGTAAATCGTTTAATAAGATATATAAATAAACATTTTTTTTAGTTATATATATATATATATATATATATATATATATATATATATATATATATATATATATATATATATGTATATATACATATATATATATATATATATATATATATATATAATATATATATATATATATATATATATATATATATATATATATATATATATATATATATATATATATATATATATATATATATATATATATATATATATAATTTATAGATAAGAAATAAATCATGACAAAAATAAGAGAGTCGTGATTTTAAAGATTTTTCTTTTAAAAATAGTACCTAAAATAATTAAACTGAAAAAGTTTAATTATTTTTCACGACTTTTTCAGTTTAATTATTTAAGGTTCTATTTTTAAAAGAAATCTTTAAAATCGAAGTTTTTTCCTAATAGAAAACGTTTAGATTCTTTTTTGAATTGTTCTAGGGAGAAGCTTAGAAGAGTTTTATTTTTAATAATATTTTTCAAAAAACTTTTCCATATAAATGGTCCACGGTATTGAATTTGAAATGAGCTGAGTTTTAAATAAGATCTTGGAATAACAATCATATCAACTGAAAATTTTGTGGGGTATTTATGAGTAATTTCAGTAAAGTAAGAGTGAAATATATTAGGAGACAAACCATGTTTTGATTTAAATATTAGAAGCATAACTTGGTATATATTAATTTTATAAACATTAAGTGCATTAAGTTCGCTTAAAAGAGATTCACGATTAACAGTTCTGTTAACGCCAAATATAATCCTACATGCATGTTTTTGTTTGCTATAGATATTTTTAAGTTTCCCATAATTAGTGCTTCCCCATGCAAGATTGCAATAAGAAAGATAACTATGAATAAATGAAATATATATAATTTTTAAAGACTCAATATTAAGAAATGGTTTAATTTTATATAACATTGAAATATTTTTGGATTTGAAATAAAATTACTTAAAAAAAATATTATTAAAGGATACAATGGATAATTTTAACCATTAATTGTAAAAACTATGCATATCCTTAAATAATTCTTTTTTAAACATTTTTATAAACATGTTATAATAAAAATCTATATGTTATAATAATAAAAAATATATATGTTATTATAAATCTCTGACTAAACATAAACATACAATTATTCATAATCCGATAAAATTGATTTTTATAAATTTATGCTCTGAAAGTTTGTTAAAACGATGTCTTCATGATAGTATCCGAAATTTAAAAGCATTTAATCAAATAACTTGGTAAAAGTTTCATAACGATGTACTTGCTTGCAAAGAAGTGTAGAAATCGGTGTAGCTTTAGATGTTATTTATTTCAATGATGAAATGTCCAGTTTTTCATAAGTTTTTGAGATTCTAAATTTCAAAATCGGATACCTTGGTAATTATGGTTCATGTAAAATATACAGCCACCGTCAGTGTCATTTAAAAAAAAATATTCTAAAGCTTTTAAAAAAGACAAAAAAATGCTAAAGTCAAAAAAGGGACTTATTGATAAAGAAATGGATGTTGAAGATGGGAAATCTTACTCTCTAGGAAAATATTAAAAAATATTATTATATGTACTTTTTAAAGAATTGTTTTTTTCAATATTGCACAAAACTTAAAATAGGTTCTTTTAAAAAGATTAAAAGCAATCAACTTGAAATTTTCAGGGTGTGCTCGATAACAAACACGTGAGACTGTAGCAGAACTTAAATTAATGGTATTATTTAGAATAATTATCTTAAATAAAAAATTGATTTTTATTTTGCATCCATTGTTTTTATCCGCCATTTGTGATGTACAAGTTTTTATTAAAAATTTTGCTCTCTTTGTTTTTGAATCATAAAAATATTCTGAAATTTTTACGCTCATTGGATGAATATGTTAGGAGTTATAAAATTCTAAAAATGTGTTTATAATTTACGCATTTTTTGCTGACTCAGCAAACCAATAAGTTTTTTATAATTTTTTGGAGTGTTTTTATTGATAAAAATGATTATTTTTTTCATTTTAAGTTATTTGGAAACATTTATATTTAAAATGTAGAAATCATTTTTTTAATCATTGAGCCACCTTAAATAGTTACAATAACTAATTAGTTATTGTAATTATTTAACAAAAAGTTTAGAACTCGGTAATTAAAAAGAATTACATTTTTTTAAAAGCATATGTTAGTCTATACTTCTTTTCATGTTTCGAATCGCGACACGACGTTTGATTAATAAAAAAATTTGATTAATAAAAAAATGTTTTCTAGGTTACAAAAGCTTAAAATTTCATTATTTTTATATCACAATTTTATTCTTGACTATTCTATTTATTTTATTAAGTAGTTAAAGAAAAAGTTGTTGTTTTCCTTTTTGTTGTCGCCATTTTACTAAAATACTATATTTTTAAATTATTATGAACGTTTGCGTTATTATTTGCGTCGAGGTAAGAAAAATCAGGCGTTTATGTATAGTCTCGATGTCGGTTTCTTTTTGATAAAGGTTACAAGCATAGTCCCGAAGCATTATAATGTGGTTGAACTTCCATCTGTTTTATACTTCCATAATGTACTGCAACAATTACGGATCCAGGATTTTTTGGTGTTTGAGATGGCGCAAACGCCAAAAGAGACATGGAGCAAACGCCAAACATTTGCATGTTTATACTTATATTAAATAACTATGCATTGCAAAAAAACTGCGATAATTGGAGGCTGGTAACGAAAAAAACCCTTTACTGTTTTAAATACGACATTTGCAGCGAAAAACCCATACCAAAGATTTATTCGTTTATTGGAATTTTTCTTCATTATGTGCTTTTTCTTGGACGGAATTCTAATTTTTGTAAAAATTGATAAAAATATTGTGTTTTGAAACTATATATAGTAAATATACGTCAGATTAGAACTAAGATCAATATTAAATTAAGGAACTTTATCAAAAGATTTTAACTAAATTCATATTAACGCCGATGAGCGGAATTGATATAAATACTCGAAAATGGCGTTCTTTAGATTCATTATTACAGGTTGTAAAAAGGTTTTGCAAATTATTAATAAAAAAAAATTTCTTTAAATAGTAAAAAAAAGCTATGGCAAAAAAAATTATACCATCTAAAGCTCTTGTTTGGACATAATACGCTGATAAAACCATGCTAATTCCAAATAAAAGAATTCGAATAGTTTGTAAATAGACGTAACTACACAGAGTGGTAGATGTAAAAAATCTTATTAACTGAATGGAATGGCTATTAAAACATGAAGCAAATTAAACCATTGAACCATTTATAACATTTTAGTTTAAAAATAGCCGGATGCGTACAAGTAATACATTTAAAGTGCGTTATTGAGTGTTTCTATATACTCGTTTAAATTATTAATTAAAGTTTATCTATTTTAAAATTGCATGCGCAAAAACTAAATTAAGAAAAAAGTACTCGACCTAATATTTTTTTAACAACTTTGTTTACTGCATTTTTGAATAACAACTTTTTTAATATTTTTCAACAAACTGTGAACAGTTATACTTTCTTTAATAAAATTTAATGAGAAAAATAGCTTCGATGTAAGGATTTCCCTTTGGTCCAAATATCATTAACAATTGAAAATACTCGCTCTACGGAAGCATTTAAAACAATTTAAAGAACATGATTTTTTTTAAAATGAGGAAAAAAACTTCAAACCATCGGTGGTCACATAAAATATAAAGAGTTCCAAGAAGATAACTTTTACTTCGTATATAACTTAGTTCTTTGTATTTTGTTAAACAATTCATTGTCATCGAATGTAAATTTAAATGATTTTTTCAAAAAAAGTTATGGTTTTTATAATTTAAATTTCAAATTCAATTTTCATTTTACAGTTCGGTAAAGACCATTTAAAAACATAAAATCTATTATGGTGACGTGTCCATTCCTTTATATACTCTAGGAAAAAGACTGCATAAAATGTCTATTTTCTTCGAAAACTGGTTTTTCAAATGATGTTTACTTTCTTTACTAACTTGCAAATGCTATTTTACCTTAAAAGGTAAACATGATTATTTTTAACTTAATTTAATCTTCCAAATTCTTTAACAGTACGGTAAATTCAGTAGCAGAAACAAAAGGTAAAACATGATTATTTTTAACTTAATTTAATCTTCCAAATTTATTAACAGTACGGTAAATTCAGTAGCAGAAACTTTTTTTTTTGCTGTATTATAAAAAACATTAGTTTGATTGAAACAAAAAATAATACATTTTCATCAATTTCGTTATTTAAAAAGTTTTATATCACTTTAGAAAATATTATAGGCCCAAAAAGACTGATCATAGTGTCTGATATAACTTAAGACCCAAAAAAAACAATCATTGTGTCTGATATAACTTAAGGCCTAAAAAGAATGATCATAGTGGCTGATATAACTTAAGCACTCTTTTGATTGCTGAAAGTATAGCTGTTTATTATGTATGTAAAAATGCAAAAGTTTCTGGGTTTAGCTAGACGATAATCTTTTTATTGTAATAACGTTTCATTTTATGCTTCTGAATTTTGTAACGGATTGTCTGCAGAAATAGCATAAGAGATTTTGTTAGCATTAATGTTTTTAAAGATAACTTCCGATAAAATATCTGATGTTTATCCATTTAGGTAAAATATCTGATGTTTATCCATTTATCCATCCTACTCAAAGGATCCAAAATCGAGAAAAAACGGAGTCGAGAGAAATCGAGAAAAAACTCCGTCGGAGTCGAGAAAAAATCGGAGTTTCGATAATATTTTGTTATAAAAATTAAACTATCTATTTGATAAAAAAATTAAACTCTCTATTTGATAATTAAACATTGTTCTTGTATTTTTATTTTTTAATTTTAAATATTTCGATTTATAATTCATGATAAAATTTTAAAAAATTTATATTTTTATATTTCTTAGTACATAAATATTTTTTTTATCACAATTTTTCAAGGAACAAGTTATATCTAATAATTGGCTTTCTAACCGGCATCGGTTAGGAAGAAGGCGTGAACTTTCTGTTAAATGCCCTTCTGTGTTGCTATGCAATAAAGACTTGTTGGGGCACCTATAGTAAAAATTAAAAAAAAAATTTGAAAAAAAAAGTATTTATACTGAAGATCTTTTTAAATAATATTTTAAAAAGATCAAAACATCTATCATTTCATCAGAAAGCGAACTACGAAACTTTGTGACAAATCTGGAAGACGAGGAGACTATTTTCTTTTGTTGCAAATAGTTGATCAAATAATTTTGAAGCATAAATTTGAATATCTTTTTTGAAAGCGTAAAAAATTTTTTAAAAAATCGGGATTGTGCAAATAACGACTCAATGATACCAACATAACGTTTTTACGATCTTCATATCTGGAGATTAAGGTCTCTGCAAAATTAGAACTGATGTCAGTTTCTGCAACCTTCAATTTCCTTACTAACGTTTCCATAATAATGTCACACTCCAAAATTGTTGTATTTGGTTTTTCCAAGCGAACTGCAGCGTCAGCAACGACTTCCAATAAGTCAGACAGCGATTTTAAGAAATCCAAGTCAATTTCAGCTAACATGTTTAAGCAGTTTAGCTCTTCGAGTGTTTTTTTTACAGCTTTTAAGCAATCCAGAAATCTTTTAATCATCTTAAAAACACTGTTCCATCTTGTTCGGTTGTCGAACAACAGTCCTTTGTCATGCGAAGATCCGTATATTTCGTGTATTTTTCTTTTAAGAACTTCATATCGAAACGATGAATATTTCAAAAACTTAATTAGTATTCGAAGTTTCTGTAGATTTTTTTCGATATTTTCTTCATACTCAATCTCATTCTCCGAATATTCAATAAGAAACTCTCCTTCAGACTCTCCATCAGTTTCTGTTTCTGTTTCAATAATCGATTCAGTTTCTTTGTTCACAATTTTGCGACAATCTTTTTTAGCGTATATCAAATCACAAACACTCAAATGAATTGAATGATTCTGGCAGATCTGATGTGGAAACTTAAATATGGTACCCAATTTCACCATCCAACTACAGCCATCCGTAGTTTTACCTGCAATATCTTCACTATCTATACCAAATTCTTTTAATTTTTCCATTATCAAAATGTTTAATGTTTCAGCAGAACTAGGAGATGGCAATCTCATCATTCCTAAACAATACGTTCTGTCGTGATGAACATTTAAATTGTAGTATCTTCTACCTCTATTGCTACACCATTCGTCACCTGTTAGTCCAAATTTTTCTCCTTTTGCTTTCAATGCAGCCAATTCAGCGATCATTAAGTATTTGGCTTCAGCATGAAACATCTTAATTTTTTCTGAAATTGCGGACGCTGACTTAGACAAACTATGCCCGTAATTTTCAAAAAGCATTCTTAGTGTTTCAGATTGAGTTATGGACCTAATTGAATACCCATCAAGAGCTGTCAACTTGGCAAGAAGATCGTTTAATGACATCTTAGTCAAAACTGGTCTGGAACTGAATGCTTTCAAATCTATTTTCTCGCAACTTTTGACGTGTCCAATAAGGCCGTTTGTGCTGCTTCCTGGACAAGCGATTCTTTTATGACATTTTTTGCAATCTCCATACTTCTTATCATTTACCACAACTTTATTAAAGTACTTCCACGCTTCCGAAACCATTTTTTTCTATGAAAGAAAAATTATCAATTTGATAATGACCTCCCATATTTGTTTTTAATTTTATTTTAATTGTGAAAAGTTATCACATTTTAAGTTATTAAGTTATTTATTCTGATAGGTAAGTATAATTAAACATTAATTATTATTATTATTTATTTTCACTGATAACATTTTGCACAATTTTGCCACAATGCTCAGTGGGCCGGATTTTAGACATACAAAATAGACATACAAAATACGACACTACTTGTATAAAATGAAAGTTTTATATGTTTTATATGTTAAAAACTTACCTCGTTATATTACGACCAGTCTTTGTTTATATTATAAATAATGATCTTGACTAAACTTTTTTTTTGTAAAGGTAAACTATTGAGTAGTTAAAATATATAAACTAATATCACATTCGCATAATATTTTAAAAGTTACTGTTTATTATATCTTTGGTTAAAAATTAAATAATTCTTGCTTTTTATTATGCATTACATTTTATTATACTGCAATTGATTTTTGTGGATTTAAAAAAATACTAATACTAAAAAGATACTAATATACACAAAAGAGTTTTTGAAATAGTACAATGGAAAAGTATGAGCATGTTTTAATATATGGTTTTGAATAGAATAAACTTTTTTTGAGGTTTTTTTCACCATCATCAACTGGCCCACTGTGCATTACGAATTGCTTTGCGATGTATATTAGTGTTGTTATTAAACGAAGAGAACACTTACATTTGAAACAATTTTTAAAATTACAATTTACAATTGTAAAAACCACGTAGAAATAAAATAAGAATTCAATTATTTTACAAATAAAAAATTGGTATTTTCTAAAAACTTCGTCGAAGTTTTGTCGAAGTTTCTCGATTTGTCTCGAACTCCGAAACTCCGAAAAACCGAGAAAAATCCGTCGAGACGGAGTTCCGAATGGATCCACTGATCCTACTCAATCTATGTTTATTGATTTATAATATAAAAACATATTATAAATCAAAAATACTATGATATAATAGACACTGCACATAATAATTTACGTATTTGTATTTATAAAACCAATTTTTTTAGTTTAGCTAATGTTTGATAATATGTTAAGACAATGTTTTCCATTACTCTATAATGGAGTTTTTGTTGACAATTTGTTTTCAAAATACTTTTTTCAGTAAATTTTGATGCATTTATCTCAAAAAAACTTTTTGACTTACGAGGTATAACGTCTGAGCCGACAATATACAATATATTGTTTAAAGTGTTGTGTCCAAAACTTTTTTAAAATTTTTCAAATAAAAAGCATTATGATAACTTCATTTTAACTCAAGTCATGCATTTAGTTATATTAATACATCATAATTAGACTACTGCATAAATCAGTTTTACACTATTTTTATTATCTTTTGGTGTTTTCATATTCTGTGAGGCTTGTGCTCATAAAGACTAACATTAGCTGCTAATACTATTACCTCACTATTCCTAGCGCCATGACTCACGGTCGTTTAGAAGCGACAAGTTATTATACGCAAGCGCATTAATAGTTAGAAATTAATTGATTATTAATAACGGCTACGGATCGCAGCTTCAATATGTTTTTATTTAT